ACAGGTTCTCTTTACACATCTTGCTACCCATGTAATGCATGGGTGCGACAGAAAAGAGGGCGGCTTTATATGTAAGTATATACATTATTTTGCCAAAAGTATTCGGACGCCTGCGTTTACACACACATGAACGTTGATGGCATCCCAGTCTTAGTCCGTAGGGTTCAATATTGAGTTGGCCCCGCCCTTTGCAGCTATAACAGTTTCCACACTTCTGGGAAGGCCGTCCACAAGGTTTAGGAGGGTGTCTATGGGAAGGTTGGACCATTCTTCTAGAAGCACATTTGTGAGGTCAGGCACTGATGTTGGGGGAGGAGGCCTGGCTCGCAGTCTCCGCTCTAATTCATCCCAAAGGTGTTATATGGGGTTGAGGTCAGGACTCTGTGCAGGCCAGTCAAGTTCCTCCACCCCAAACTGGCTCCTCCATGTCTTTATGGACCTTGCTTTGTGCACTGGTGTGCAGTCATGTTGGAACAGGAAGGGGCCATCCCCAAACTCGTCCCACAAAGTTGGGACCATGAAATTGTCCAAAATGTCTTGGTATGCTGACGCCTTAAGAGTTCCCTTCACTGGAACTAGGGGGCCAAGCCCAATCTCTGAAGAAACACCCCCACACCATAATCCCCCTTCCACCAAACTTTACACTGGGCACAATGCAGCCAGACAAGTATCGTTCTCCTAGCAACTGCCAAACCCAGACACATCCATCAGATTGCCAGAGAAGCAATGGATGAAAAATGATTGTAAACAGACAGAAAAAAGATGTAAACGGATGCGAACAGACATACGGTTTGTTTTTGCATTGGTAAAGGATGTAAAAAACGGATATAAACCGATCCGTTTTTCTCTTTGAAAAAACATGACTGAACTGATGAAAAAATGGAACAGCCATGTGAAAGAACCCTTACCCTAGGTTCACATCTGTGCGGGTGGTGCCGCTGCAGATGCGCATGAAAATCCGTGCAGCCGCTCCACCCGCACAGAAAAATGCGGACCCGCGGGCGGGTGCCATTAGTTCTAATGGCACGCAGCCTGCACTGGAAAACGCAACCGTGCTGGGAACCTCGGCTGCATTTTCCAAAGAAGTGCAGGGACTTCTTCCCTGCGTGTCACAGAATTCTGCGCTGTGCTCTTGCAGTCATTTTTACAGGACGACCTCGCCTAGGGAGAGTAGCAACAGTGCTAAACTTTCTCCATTTGTAGACAGTCTGTCTTTCCGTGGACACATGAACATCAAGGCTTTTGGACATACTTTTGTAACCCTTTCCAGCTTCATGCAAGTCAACAATTCTTGATCGTAGGTCTTCTGAGAGCTCTTTTCTGCGAGTCATGGTTCACATCAGACAGTGCTTCTTGAAACCAGTAAACCCAAAACAGCTGTGTGTTTTTTAAGGGCAGGACAGCTGTCAGCAACACATCCAATATCATCACACTGATTGGAGTCAAGGTTGGCTCACTCCTGCCTCCAATTAGCTCTGGGAGAAGTCATTAAGCTAGGGCCTCACATACTTTTTCCTCCCTGCACTGTGAATGTTTACATGTTATGTGCAATTAAACCATAGCAACATCTAATGTTTGTGTAGTATTATGTTCAGCAGACTGTGTTCTTCTATTGTTGTGACTTAGATGACGTTCAGAGCACATTTTATGCCCAATTCATGCAAAACGCCATGTAATCCCAAGGGGTTCACATACTTTTTCCTCCCTGCACTGTGAATGTTTACATGTTATGTGCAATTAAACCATGGCAACATCTAATGTTTGTGTAGTATTATGTTCAGCAGACTGTGTTCTTCTATTGTTGTGACTTAGATGACGTTCAGAGCACATTTTATGCCCAATTCATGCAAAACTCCACGTAATCCCAAGGGGTTCACATACTTTTTCCTCCCTGCACTGTGAATGTTTACATGTTATGTGCAATTAAACCATGGCAACATCTTATGTTTGTGTAGTATTATGTTCAGCAGACTGTGTTCTTCTATTGTTGTGACTTAGATGACGTTCAGAGCACATTTTATGCCCAATTCATGCAAAACTCCACGTAATCCCAAGGGGTTCACATACTTTTTCCTCCCTGCACTGTGAATGTTTACATGTTATGTGCAATTAAACCATGGCAACGTCTTATGTTTGTGTAGTATTATGTTCAGCAGACTGTGTCCTTCTATTGTTTTGACTTAGATGACGTTGCATGCAAAACTCCACGTAATCCCAAGGGGTTCACATACTTTTTCTTGCAACTGTATATGTGACCCAGGGGTCATGGAACATGAATGCAGTGCATGTTTTACCCACCTGTTTGAATGGCCTAACTGGAAACAATGCAGCTGTGTTCAGATCCGTAATTAAAAAATACTTGTCCGGGGTGTTGACATTTTTTAAAAAAACTACCAAATTGGTATCCCAATCTACTTGTAACCAAAACCGTATTTCAATCGGAGGTGCTTTATGGAATGTCTGGAGCTTTTAAAAACGAAAGGATCTTTATGGCAACTTAAATGTTTAATATTTTTAACATTGCGCTCAGGGGCGGACTGACAACTCATGGGGCCCCCGGGCAATAGGGGATCATGGGGCCCCTGTGTCCTTGCCCAAACTCAAAAAAGCCTATGAAAAAGGTACCAGGGGCATCTCCTGGGGCCCCCTACTGACCCCGGGCTCTCGGGCAGTGCCCGAGTTTCCAAATGGTCAGTCCACCCCTGCTCGTAGGTTAGGCATAGGAGCTGTCCGGCGTGCTGAACGGCACCGACACACGTGGCGTTCAGCGCCGAGCGACGGTTTAATTCAATATTTTGCATTTCTTATTCCATCCTTTTCTTTCAGAGCTGTGAAGACTTACAGCTGAAAAGCCAAATTGCTGGCAAATGTCTGAACTGATCCCAGCCAGGGCTCTGGCTCCCCGCTGGCTTTCCTTGACATGTTTTCAAGAAGATGAAAAGGAGAAATGTGATTTAAAATTTTTTTTTGACCGGTGAGCCTTTCTCGGCAGAGAAACGCAGGGCATTCCTTTTATTTATTTTGGTGTAATGCAATGATATTGATGCCGGTGTGAAATGAATGGTTTTCTGGGAAATCTAAGAGACACTGGGGGATGAAGGGGTTAAAGCATCTTTAAAATGGTATTAAACCCAAAAAGCAAACATTTATTATATTGCAGCTTGCCAATTCTTAGATGTGATGGCGGCATTAGTTTCCATTTTTTTAGGGTCTCTTTCTTCTATTTTCTCCTGGTGATCTGGCCAGTAAGTCTGTTGTTTTTTCATAAGCACAAGCTCTCCAGCAGAATGGATCAGTTATTCCTCATGCACGCGTTTTTTTTTGCATTAGCATTTAGCGGCGTTTTGCTGCGTTTAGCTGCGTTTTCCTGCATTTTCTCATGTTTGAGCAATTTTTAATGAAAAATAAAAAATATTTTTTGGGAGGGGTAGAAAAAAAACATTCAAAAATACCGGTTTGCTGTGTTTTACTGCATTTTGCCAAATTTTTCTGCGTTTTTCAGCGCTAGAGCATTTTTAAAGCTAAAAAAACTCCTCTAGAAAGCTAGTCCTGGGTTTTTTTTTTCCAGCCAAAAAAACATCCCAGCTAAAAGTCTGTTGTTTTTTCAAAAGCACAAGCTCTCCAGCAGAATGGATCAGTTATTCCTCATGCACACGGGATGTTTTTAGCGTTTTTGCATTAGCATTTAGCGGCGTTTTGCTGCGTTTTTCTGCATTTTCTCGTGTTGGCATGTTTTAGCATTTTTTTAATGAAAAATAAAAAAAATTTTAGGTAAGGGTTGAAAAAAAAAAAAATAAAAAAAATACCGGTTTGCTGTGTTTTACCGCGTTTTGCCTAATTATTCTGCATTTTTCAGCGTTAGAGCGTCTTTAAAGCTAAAAAAAACTCCTCTAGAAAGCTAGTCCTGGGTTTTTTTTCCAGCCAAAAAACATCCCAGCCAAAAGTCTGTTGTTTTTTTTAAAAAGCACAAGCTCTCCAGCAGAATGGATCAGTTATTCCTCATGCACAAGGGATGTTTTTAGTGTTTTTGCATTAGCATTTAGCGGCGTTTTGCTGCGTTTAGCTGCGTTTTCATGCATTTTCTCTCATGTTTGCATTTTTTAGCATTTTCTTAATGAGAAATTTTTTTAGGGGGGTAGAAAAAAACATCCAAAAATGCCGGTTTGCTGTGTTTTACCGCGTTTTGCCTAACTGGCCAGATCACCAGTTGAAAACAGAGAGAACAAACCTAAAAAAGAAAACTAATGCAGCCACCACAGCTAAGGATTGGTCAGCTGCAATATATTACATTTTTGATTTTCAGTTTAATACTTCTAAAGGGTTGAAGCTGCTGTGACTTTTCACAGAACACTGAGAGTGCAGCAGGTGATTATAATGCACCCAGGGGTGGATTGACCATTTGGAAACTCGGGCACTGCCCGAGGGCCCGGGGTCAGTAGGGGGCCCCATGAGATGCCCCTGGTACCTTTTTCATAGGCTTTTTTGAGTTTGGGCAAGGACACAGGGGCCCCATGATCCCCCATTGCCCGGGGGCCCCATGAGTTGTCAGTCCGCCCCTGAATGCACCATACCCTCCCACTCAGAATCAGTCTGCAATATATTTCATTTTTGCTTTAGGGTTTAATACTACTTTAAAGGGTAACTCTACTTTTGAGAAAAAAAAAATATAGCAGATGAAGCAAAGTAGTATCGCGTATACAATTACTACACAAGCCCTGTTACATTTTATTGATATTAAAAAAATATCTTTCCATTTCAATCTGCAGCACTGTAATGTTCTGTAAAATGCAATGCAACATGGCAACCTGGAGGCGTTCTGTACTCCTCCGAAAATGTAATTTCCTGCTTGTGTGAATGGCACACTGATTTTCCCAGCAGTCTGCATTAATATGCAAGTCAGATTTTAGTCACCTCCTTCAACAGAAATGTCATTCTTCATGAGATACTCCATAAGAGTAAAAGTGTTCCTAAACTCCGGACCCTGCATTCACTATATCCGCTCTCCCCGGACCCTGCATTCACTATATCCGGTCTCCTAGGACCCTGCATTCACTATATCCGGTCTCCTAGGACCCTGCATTCACTATATCCGGTCTCCCCGACCCCGCATTCACTATATCTGGTCTCCTAGGACCCTGCATTCACTATATCTGGTCTCCCCGGACCCTGCATTCACTATATCTGGTCTCCTAGGACCCTGCATTCACTATATCCGTTCTCCCCGGACCCCGCATTCACTATATCTGGTCTCCCCGGACCCTGCATTCACTATATCTGGTCTCCCCGGACCCTGCATTCACTATATCTGGTCTCCCCGGACCCTGCATTCACTATATCTCCGGTCTCCTAGGACCCTGCATTCACTATATCCGGACCCTGCATTCACTATATCCGGGTCTCCCGGACCCTGCATTCACTATATCCGGTCTCCTAGGACCCTGCATTCACTATATCTGGTCTCCTCGGACCCTGCATTCACTATATCTGGTCTCCCAGGACCCTGCATTCACTATATCTGGTCTCCCAGGACCCTGCATTCACTATATCTGGTTTCCCCGGACCCTGCATTCACTATATCCGGTCTCCCTGGACCCTGCATTCACTATATCTGGTCTCCCCGGACCCTGCATTCACTATATCTGGTCTCCCCGGACCCTGCATTCACTATATCTGGTCTCCCCGGACCCTGCATTCACTATATCCGGTCTCCCTGGACCCTGCATTCACTATATCTGGTCTCCCCGGACCCTGCATTCACTATATCTGGTCTCCCAGGACCCTGCATTCACTATATCCGGTCTCCCAGGACCCTGCATTCACTATATCTGGTCTCCCCGGACCCTGCATTCACTATATCTGGTCTCCCAGGACCCTGCATTCACTATATCTAGTCTCCCAGGACCCTGCATTCACTATATCTGGTCTCCCCGGACCCCGCATTCACTATATCTGGTCTCCCCGGACCCTGCATTCACTATATCCGGTCTCCCTGGACCCTGCATTCACTATATCTGGTCTCCCCGGACCCTGCATTCACTATATCTGGTCTCCCCGGACCCTGCATTCACTATATCTGGTCTCCCACAGTACACAGAACATGGAAATGCAATTATTTTAGTAAATATAAACTGCTAAATACCTTTTCTCATCAGCAGTTAGAGCAGTCTTGTGGCTTCTATCAGTGTTCAGCAGAGCACTGGTTAAAGCTTGTAGGAGGAGTTTTCTCTAGGAGGATGCAGAACCCCTGACCTCTGTCTGGACAGTGCTTATTGGCCCTGTACTGATCACATGCATTCTGCCAAGAAAAAAAAAAAACCTCACTAGCACTACATACCAAACTGAGCATGTGCAAAATGCCTACGATTCAGTCTGTCTTATCAGGAGATACGAGGTGGTCACTTAAAAAAGAGGAGGAACAGAGAAGACAGGATCAAATGGTCTTTTTACAAAATGCAGAGGATTGACCCCTTAGGTTCCACAGTGAGTATAACAGGCATGCTTTACTGCACACTTATTTTACTGTTGTGGATTTAGTAACACTTTAATAACTTCTGAAGGGATGCAGACACTGCAACTTTTCTCATAACACTGAGAATGCACCAGGTAATTATAATGAACCAGACTCACCCACTCAGAATCAGCCTGCAAAGGACATGCTAAAACAAACAGCTATTTCTTCAGAGCAGCACAAGGAAGGAATCTGCTACAAAGTGTGTTACCTACAATTAGGGCCAAGACAATGAAGGGGGGGCACAGAAGGGGCGCACGCCGTGGGAGCTGTGTTGAAGGAGGTCACGGTGTGGATTTGTCACCTGGGTCGCTGACAGGAGTGACTACAGCATCACTCCTGTCAGAAGGAGCAGCACTTGAGAGATGTTGGCGGGAGGAATCAGATTTTTTTCTCCCTCCAGCCTGCAGGGGGTGGACAACAGACCACTGAGGAGTGAGGCCCTTCTTCCTCTTTGCCCTTCACATTTCACATGACCGGAGAGAGGAGGGAGGTGGTAACAGTATTTGTGATCTGTGAGTACAAGGGGGGAGTAGGACCCTCAACCCTAGACCTCCCTCTCTTACCCTACGTTGACATCTGTGTGTTGCAGGAATGTGTTCCTACAATGCAAAAAAAAAAAATGCATAGCCAGGGGCGGACTGACCATTTGGAAACTCGGGCACTGCCCGTGGGCCCGGGGTCAGTAGGGGGCCCCATGAGATGCCCCTGGAACCTTTTTCATAGGCTTTTTTGAGTGTGGGCAAGGACACAAGGGCCCCATGATCACCTATTGCCCGGGGGCCCCATGAGTTGTCAGTCCGCCCCTGTGCATAGCCTTTTTGCTCGATTGTAGCGGTTCCATTCATTGTTAACAGCATCCTCACACACATTGCTTTTGCGCTCATTTGCAAAATGCATGGTAACAAACAGGGGCGGACTGACAACTCATGGGGCCCCCCCGGGCAATAGGGGATCATGGGGCCCCTGTGTCAGTACAGTATGGTATCAGTATGTGTTTATTTTTGTTATTTTATTTTTTACATTTTTTTTGCCATTATATTTATTTTATCATTTTATAAATGTTTTTTTATTTTTTTACTACCTTCGTTGGTAGTTTGGTGAAATATCAGGGGGCTAAACAGACCCTAAGGGGTCTAAGGACACCTCAATCTCCATCTCTGCAGCCTCAGCAACACAATAAATGAACAGGAATATCTCTGTACAGAGTTTTCCGTTCAGGGGCGGACTGACCATTTGGGAACTCGGGCACTGCTCGAGGGCGCGGGGTCAGAAGGGGGCCCCATGAGATGCCCCTGGTACCTTTCAGAGGCTTTTTTGGGTGTGGTTTGAGTGTGGGCAAGGACACAGGGGCCCCATGATCCCCTATTGCCCGGGGGGGCCCCATGAGTTGTCAGTCCGCCCCTGTTCCCGTTCAATCATAAACTGAAATATAGTAAACTAATATGAATGAATATAACACTAGAAGCTTCCCTATCTGGTTGTGGCTCTGGAAGAGGAAAGGACGGAAGGGGTTAATAATATTCTTACATCAAACATCTGAAGATTTCCTATCTGGCATGGCTCTCTGGAAGAGAGAAAGAAGGAAGGGGTTAATAATATTTGTTTCTATCAAACAGAAACAATTGAGTACTGTCCGTGATACTATTTTTATTTGCACTAACATACAATTTTGAGGACAAGCTTTCGGGGAGTGTCCCCTTCTTCAAGGTCCAAGCAGTACTCCAAGCAGTTTCTATCAAACAACAACACTTTCCTGTCTGCCATGGCTCCGAAGGATGAACGAAGGAATGGGTAAATAAAGCTCTTTCAATATCACACACCAGACACTTTCCTATCTGGCGTGGCTCTGGAAAAGGAAAGAAGGAGTTAATAATGTTCTTTCTCTATCAAACACCATACACTTTCCTATGCCCCGGGGGCATGGCTTAGGAAAAGGAAAGAAGGCGTTAATAATGTTCTTTCTCTATCAAACAGCCCCACTTTCCTATCTGGCATGGCTCTGGAAAAGGAAAAGCTTGTTAATAATGGTTCATTTTCTCTATCAAACACCAGACACTTTCCTATCTGGCGTGGCTCTGGAAAAGGAAAGAAGGAGTTAATAATGTTCTTACTCTATCAAACACCAGACACTTTCCTATCTGGCGGTGGCTGCCTGGAAAAGGAAAGGAGTTAATAATGTTCTTTCTCTATCATTTTAACACCATTACACTTTCCTATCTGGCGTGGCTCTGGATAAAGGAAAGAAGGAGTTAATAATGTTCTTTCTCTATCAAACACCTGACACTTTCCTATCTGGCATGGCTTGGAAGAAAGAAAGAAAGAAGGCGTTAATAATGTTTTTCTCTATCAAACACCATTGACACTTTCCTATACTGGCATGGCTCTGGAAAAGGAAAGAAGGAGTTAATAATGTTCTTTCTCTATCAAACACAACAGACACTTTCCTATCTGGCGTGGCTCTGGAAAAGGAAAGAAGGAGTTAATAATGTTCTTACTCTATCAAACACCAGACACTTTCCTATCTGGCGTGGCTCTGGAAAAGGAAAAAGGAGTTAATAATGTTCTTTCTCTATCAAACACCAGACACTTTCCTATCTGGCGTGGCTCTGGAAAAGGAAAGAAGGAGTTAATAATGTTCTCTTTCTCTATCAAACACCAGACACTTTCCTATCTGGCGTGGCTCTGGAAAAGGAAAGAAGGAGTTAATAATGTTCTTTCTCTATCAAACACCAGACACTTTCCTATCTGGCGTGGCTCTGGAAAAGGAAAGAAGGAGTTAATAATGTTTCTTTCTCTATCAAACACCAGACACTTTCCTATCTGGCGTGGCTCTGGAAAAGGAAAGAAGGAGTTAATAATGTTCTCTTTCTCTATCAAACACCAGACACTTTCCTATCTGGCGTGGCTCTGGAAAAGGAAAGAAGGAGTTAATAATGTTCTCTTTCTCTATCAAACACCAGACACTTTCCTATCTGGCGTGGCTCTGGAAAAGGAAAGAAGGAGTTAATAATGTTCTCTTTCTCTATCAAACACCAGACACTTTCCTATCTGGCGTGGCTCTGGAAAAGGAAAGAAGGAGTTAATAATGTTCTTTTCTCTATCAAACACCAGACACTTTCCTATCTGGCGTGGCTCTGGAAAAGGAAAGAAGGAGTTAATAATGTTCTTTCTCTATCAAACACCAGACACTTTCCTATCTGGCGTGGCTCTGGAAAAGGAAAGAAGGAGTTAATAATGTTCTCTTTCTCTATCAAACACCAGACACTTTCCTATCTGGCGTGGCTCTGGAAAAGGAAAGAAGGAGTTAATAATGTTTCTTTCTCTATCAAACACCAGACACTTTCCTATCTGGCGTGGCTCTGGAAAAGGAAAGAAGGAGTTAATAATGTTCTTTCTCTATCAAACACCAGACACTTTCCTATCTGGCGTGGCTCTGGAAAAGGAAAGAAGGAGTTAATAATGTTCTCTTTCTCTATCAAACACCAGACACTTTGCTATCTGGCGTGGCTCTGGAAAAGGAAAAAGGAGTTAATAATGTTCTTTCTCTATAAACACCAGCCACAGACACTTTCCTATCTGGCGTGGCAGTAGAAGAAGAAGGAAGGAGCTCTTCCATCAGTTAGTAATCTAGAAGAGTTAGAAATGGGTTAAAAATGCTCTCCATGTATCACACAATTGAATCTTTCCCATCATCTGTAATTCTAGAAGAGGAAAGAAGGTGTTAATGATCTTTTTATAACAAAAAGTAAATAGATAAGCGCTGTGGTTATAAACCTTATTATAGATAACAAATATTTCACACAAAAAAATAGATTCTCAAAAAATGACAAAAAGTTATTTTTTGTGCCAGGAACAAAATTTGAGACTTTGTTGCCTTCCAAATAATGTCTATAGCAACGTGAATGCATTACTGTGATACACATAATAGCAATCAAATGTGACAATCTCATCACGACGCAGTGCCAAAAAAAAAAAAAAATATATATAAGTCCTTGTGTCTTCACCACGTGACCAAAACATAAGTGAATTGCTCACTTACTGGACCCATTTGACCCCAATTAAGGTGGTCAAAGTGCTTTATGGAAAGATGTGATGGAAGATCAGCCTCTGGTTGGTCCTATGATATTCCTCTTAATTATCAGCAGCACACCTCAGGGTATAACTTCCAGAGAGGGGATAGTGAGATTACCACCAAACCAA